CCTTTTTTTTTTTTTTTTTTTTTGGTGATGGGGCTCAAATTTAGGACCTTGTGCTTGTGAGGCAGGTGCAGAGTCACCTAGCTAAATCTCTGGCAGCCAATGCATTTTTTCCAGGATGGTATGACAAAAAGTACATTAGGTCTGTCTAAAGCCAGGCTCTTACCATCAAGTAGCATTTATAAATGTGCTCCTTTTTTCTTTCCTTCTAACCAACTCACTTGTGAATACTCTATCAATGTCAATGGGAGGTATTTTCCCTACTTCAATAATGTAATTTTATTTTTGGACATTTTAAATGCATATTTAATTATTCAATTAATTGCTATTTATGCTTGAATATTTCTTTAACCCATGCTTACAATGAAAGCAGGGCATTTTTCATTGTAGTATATCAGCCTTTGGAGGTCTTAATATTTAAACAGAGCTTACTTTGATGTGAATGCAAGTCAATTTACTTTTAATTTTAGGTCCCTCAATCGAAGAACCCTATGCTTGTAAAGATGTAGAAATTGGTTGAATAGTTCATGCAAAACAAAAAGCTAAGTTTGTCTTTCAAAAAAACAATACATCTCCACAACGTAGAACAACAAAAGTGAATTATTGACTGATAGTTTCATTTTGTTACTGGTTGTTGAATTGTTTTTATATGCTGGTAGGACCAGCTAGGGCTCCTACCTCAATTCTACCTCTAGTTAAAAAAAAAAAAGTATCATCCATAAAAAGAAACTCTAAGGATATTTTCAAAGTAGTCTTAAAAGGAACAACAAAAGATTGACTTTGCAGAGCACTGGCATTTGCCTTCCCCGAATCACCTTATTTAGCCTTCATTACAAACCAACAAGGCACTGTCTGTTTGCTTGCATTCTCATTTTACATTAAAGAAATGATGCTCGTGTAACTTTACCAAGGGCCCCTCAGCTGCTGTAGATACTGCTTTTGAACTTGAGTTTAGTCATGTTAGAATGCATTCTTTAATAGTGATTTTGTTTTAGGATTTCTGCATTTTATTTGTACATTTGCAGTACAGGAAGTTTGCATTCACCTTAAGGAATAGGTACATGTATGTAATACAACTTGATTCTTTTTTATTCCCCTTCCTCCTCCTTCCTACCTCCCTCCTCCATTTCTTGATCCCTTCCCCCTATTTTCATTATTATTGTTATTATTATTTTTAATTCATATTTATAACATATAATGTTTGCATTCATTGTGGGTATTTGGTATAAATACATAACACATCTTAAATCATTTCATTTCCCTTTCATCTCCCTACCTCCCCCCATACTTGGGCTTTTGGATCCCTTCATACTTGCAAGAGATCTGTCTCCCCATTTTCTTCTATTAATCTTTTATTGTGCTCTTTCTTTCTACTTTGCTTGTTAACCATTTATCAACAAGTCAGACCTCTTCATTATCATGTTTCAGAGACAGGCTACATAGCACAAGAGGTAAATGTTACCCATTTCCCCAGTTGACTTCAAGCTGTCTTCAGGGTGGGACATTTGAGAGATCCCGGTGCTCTGAGTTCTATCAGTGGATGAATGAGAAGTGTGTGATTTGGTGCACATCCCACAGTCACAGGTATACGAGTGGTCAAGTCAGCTGTCAGGATTTGCTGCCCCTGTCCACAACACCTGTGTCTGAACACTCACTATGAATAATGGCATTGAGTTGATATCTGCTAGTTGGAAGAAACCTTAGGACTGTGTTTTTCAGTGTTTTCAGGAGAATAATATTTTAAAACAGCACATCCTAGAAATTTACAGTCATAAGTCAAATAGAAGCTTAGATTTAGTTCTTTTGAATCCATCATCATCATCTTCATCATCATCATCATGATCATCATCATCATCATCATTGCTCAAACTTTGTAAATTAGAAATAGATACAAATACAAATGATTTAGTCAAATGTGGCTGACATTTGTTTCCAACCAGTATCTATAAGAGTCTAGAGCCACTGATCTTAATTACAACTGAATCTCTATAGCTTCCATAAGATAAGTATATGCCTGATATATTGGTGTAAATCAGCCTTTACTAAAGAAAATTTTATTGATTTATACAGAGGCATTAGATAAATCCCTTTAAATTGTTACCTAAATTTTAAAATGCTCTTAGTTCCTCCCCAATTAGTACTAAATGATCATTAAGCATATAACATAGTTGCTATTTATTTGGATGGAAAATTCACACCAAATTTTTTTTCTAATTTGAAGAGGAAACTCCTTAAATATTCACGTATAAAAACATTAAAATCAGCCCAGGCTACATGCCATAGTTCTAGTGACACCCTCTATTTGTAACTGTGTTCTTTTATGACTATCTCTAGCATTCTGTTATTTTTAGCTCTTTTCAGTACATTTCAGTACTATTTCCTTATTTATTTTCTTAACTTTTCTTTTTGTTTCTATCCATGAAATGAAAAGATAAGAAGAATGCCAGGTTTGTTTGAGGAGCAGAATGGAAAAAACATTGAAAAATAGATAATGTTAATTGAATGTATTTCTTTCAGGCAGGCCTCACTCCCTGTAATTTTGCCACTAACTAGGACTCCTTTGTACAAAAAGGAGGCCAGGAAACAACCACACAGGTACTGAGGGGAGTTTTTTAGTTGATGGATTCCTAAACCCAGCGTAGATTTGTATTTTCCCAGAGCTGCACTAGCTTTCTGTAGAAATATGTACTTCACAGCAAGAGAGACTCAAAGAGGGAGGAGACTGGGAGAGCTGTCGTAGAAGTGCATCAGCGCCCTGGCAGTGTGCACGGGGGAGGATGCTGGCAGAAAGGGCCAGCCCTGTTTCTGCAGCTGCTGCGTGCTGTCTAT